TTATTTATTTATTTATTTATTTTAGTTGACTCTTGCATATTGAACACTAGGCCTCCTTGTGGTGTTTCATTCCTAAAACCCGTGGTCGGCCATGCACCTTTTACCTTGTGGAGATGAGCGATAACATTCTGCCTGCGTCTCTGTGTACATGTGTTAATTTGTCTGACTGTTAGCAAAATATCTCATCAGTCATTGGTTGGATTTAGATGACACTTGTAGAAAATAATCACTAGATTTTCATTTATAACTTCTGGAGTCAATTCAGTTCAACATGGCTGCCACAGCTAAGTGACCTTAGCAAACACAAAAAATAGTCATAAATCAGTCACGTAATGAGTTAAAATTWGACGTTGCAGTGGATGAGAATAATTCTAACCTGAGCTTAAACTGATTATTTGTTTCTCCTGATAGCTGAAAGTATAAATTATGTATTTTCCAGGCACATAAATCAATTTTATGTCACAATCRAGTAACTATTTTACCTTCAATTGTTACGAAAATGCTGAAAATATCAAAAATAAATTTGACTTTACATCATAGTCTTTCTAAACACCATGAAAATGGCCTCTGTCTCTTTACGTACCATTTCAGACACTCCCACTTCAGCACGTCTTCACAACAATGCTTCAGGGGAGGGGTGCTCTGCGGGGCGGGAGCTCGGCTGCAGACTGAGCTACAGGGAGGAGCTTTGTACCAGCAAGTGTTTAGGCAATTCCACTTGGCTACCTCAGGAGATTCAAGGATTTCTCAAACATATATGAATGAGTCAAAGCAACACTCATGATATAAACCTCAAACAAGTAAATTCTGAAAAACACCCCTCCTTTAAAGCTTAGTAATCGTTAAAGTAGTCCAAATTACATAGAAGTAGTTAGTTTACCAAAGACGGACATCTTCAGGTCGGGTGTCCTGACTAGATGGTCTCCAGTAAAGCCATACCAGAATCTCTGCAACTTTGGTAATTTTGCCGCCGCAGCAGCCCACAGAAAAGAGCTGAACTCGTGCAGCCATCTTTATTAAATAAGCCTCCACATCACAGAGCCTGTCTGTTTCAAGTAGGGAAAGCTGTGAGGTCAAAGAGCCTGCAGTGACAGAAGAGGGCTGGATAGAAGCTCGCTTGAGGACAGAAGGGGTGAGAAGTGACACAAGTGTTTGAGGAGAGGCAAAGGAAAGAGGGAAGTTTTGTGAAGGGCCATTATAACTGCAAAGAAAGAGTCTTTTATTCTAGCAAATCAAGTATAAACCACTTCAGATGTATTTCAGAGACTGAAAGTGGTGTATTACTGTCGTTGCCATATTATGCAAATGAAAGAGGCAAAGCGTACTTGACTTTTTTTTAAACAGAGAAGAGGGCATTTACAAACCGTTACAGTTAATGGTCGGAGCAGAAAATATGCAACATTACTTGTACTGCAAGTACTTTTATCAAAGGTTTATAGTTTCTTTGCCTGTGTAGTTTAAGTAGTTTTGTTTGAAAATAATGAAATTTATTGTGTTATATTACAGCTGACTTCTTTGAATAAACTCAAAACCTAATGCTACACATTTTAAAGCATTAGCTTAAAAACTGTAAGTTAATTTCACAGC